TGCTTCTTTTGGATACTTCCAAATGATTGTTTATATGTAGAACACGAGGAATGTGTCTAATGCGTAAAGCTAGAGAAATAAAAAAAATAATCATAAAAAACACACAGAGCATATATAATGGGTGGGAAAGATTGAGAAAATACAATGTGGCAAAGGAGAATGTGGGGGGAATGGTTAATATAAGAAGGGGAGAAGAAGAGAGAGAAGGGGAGGGGGGAAGAATAGGCACTGGGTGAACATGGAAATGTAGGAAAGAGATAGAGAAAGTTAAAAAGATAAGGAGAAAAGAAAAAAAGAGAAAACAAAAAAGGAAGAGAAAGAAAAAATAAAGAATGTTTTTTACAAAGATAGAATATATTTATACAATTATACAAGTATTAGTTTTTAAAGGAATATTTACTCTTAATAATTTTTAAAAAATATAATCTATAAATCTAAGTCATTTTTTTAAAAAATAAACTATCTTGATATATAATATAAGAAATATGGATTGAGATATATTTATGACGTGAGGGCCCACCATTAGAAACGAAGGGAACGTCTGAGGAACCATTAAAGAGGTTTGAAGAAAGCTAAGAATGAGAATGAGGTGGCTATAAATATAAGGGGGGAGAGAGATAGAGGGAGAGAGAGAGAGAGAGAGAGAGAGAGAGAGAGAGAGAGAGAGAGAGAGAGAAGAAGAAGAACAAGAAGAAGAAGAAGAAGAAGAAGAAGAAGAAGAAGAAGAAACAATGATGGAATGGATAAAGATGCTCTAAGAGAACAAATTGCTTGAATTATGTTCTACAAATTGCCTCTGATTAAAAATACTAAAACCTTTTAGAAGAAGAGTAAAATGTGGGAGCAAACACTTATTGATTACATATTCAATTCAAAGAAGAGGCTTTCATGATGCACACGGTTATAATCCTATATGTTGTAATAACATCATGCTATAGCTCATACCTGAGCATCGCATATGGTCTTTTTGAGAATTTGAGAGAATAAATCTTGCAGGCCAATTTGTTTTTCCTTTAATACTGGACAATTTAATTAATGCAAATGGAAACTAATAAATCTGTAAATCATAATGTAATTAAACAAATTAAAATCAGAACTTAATACGTCTGACCGTGCTTCCTTCATTGTTTTCACACGAAGCCAGAAGACATTGAACTTAATACCTCTGCCACTGAATTGCCCTCTCTGAAGACATGGTTTGATTTGAATTTCACAGCCTTAAGACTATTTCTGATTCTGTTTATTATAGGCGAAATATACCAATTTCCAGAAGCCGCCTTTCCATTAGGTGAATCATCACCTCAGCATCCAATTCAATTGCACCGAGCTATCAAAATAAGCTCCAAAATGGAAGTTTTTACGGCATAGCATACGACCCTTTTTGGAAAAAATTAGAATTTGACAATATCAACACCAACAAAAACAACCAGTTAGAATCTCTTTACCCCTACTCGAGCTCAAGAAACACAAAAAACATAGACAAAGCACGGAAAAAAGAAGCATAGAGAAAGCTAAAGATATTTAAGAAAAACAAAGCGCCAAGCATGTAAAGCACACATTAAACAGCTCAAAACCAACCACCAGACAAAAATGCCTATCCAACTATCCTATTAAGGATTGACGAGATCATCCCACATAAATCACATGATTATGAAAGTAAACCCTGTGCTCTAACATAATCATGATGAACACCTAGCCTACCAAAGGGTGAAAACCAGAAATGGAAACAAAACACCAACAACAAAACAATGAATTAATTACTTTTCCACATACAGTTATGCTTTGGTTTTAACTTAATAATGAATTAATTACGAGGACACAACATTTAAATATGCATAAAGCTACATACTTTTCCACATACAGCTATGCTTTGGTTTCAACTTAATAATGAATTAATAACGAGGACACATCATTTTCCTTAGTGAATTATATGGACATTTTTAGTAAGACAATTGAAGCTACACGCTAGTTTATAGCAAGAGTGGTACATCTAGAAGCAAAGGAAAAAAGAAAAAAAAGGCAATCTAAGAATGAGAAATGTGTCTTTCAACTCCATCGATGTCAACGTAAATGTAAACAGTTAATCAGATAAGACCATTTAAAGAGGATATGCAGAATGAACTTTTTATAATTCTCCTTACCATTAAATCTACATATAAGACCGTTTCAAGAAACCTATCTCGTAAAAGTCAAACATGGAAGAAATAAATCTTGGGGCAGAATTTATAGGATGCGTGTAATGTGTCATTATTCCGATTGGTACAGGCGCAGCCGCGCAGTGGCAAGAGCAAGATAAAGTTTTTTCTCCTTTTTTCTTCTTTTCTTTTGTTTTCTTTTCCATGAAAACAAAATATACATTCATTCCAAGATAGAAAGATAAAAGAAAAGGAAAGACCAAAACTCAATTCATTTTCTAAAAATGGAATATTAGAAATTTCCTAGTACTAAAAGTGCATCATCTACGGTTTGGTGATTATCATTTTGAAATAATGGTTTATGATTTGGAATATAAATCAACTGACCCTTATTTTTCCATAGAATACTGAGCAGTACTCCTTTGTCCGACCCAGCACAACACTGAAAAAGAGGCATTTTTGATCTCCAGTTTTCACATCAAAGACATATAGAGAAAACATATAACTTAAATGCAAAAACATACCATCCTTGAGTACAATTGTCAATCTGATGGGTAGTGAGCAAAGGAGTGGTTAATCCTAACGCAAGAGTAGCAAATGTAGCACAGCTTTTTTCGTGGTTGTCATTCGGTCCTACGACCTAACAAAGTTGATAGAGCGAGTAGTGAATAAAAACTAAAAAGTGATCCTAACAGAGTGAAATCTGTTTAAACATGAGAAACACAGACACACAGTAAGAGGTCAATAAGATGATGAATTGTGCATTTATCAGAACTCATTTTGAAGAGATAAAGACACTGAGAAGAGTTGTGATAAACAAATGATTGTGGTGGTGATGAGAGATTAAATTTTCATTTTAATCAAATATTACTTATTTTTAAGTACTCCGAATGTTCCAACAGCCATGTTACAAATTTCAATTAGGTTATTAAGATCATGATTTCTCAGTCAAGTGTGGCCCATTATACACACAAATGTACCCGAAGGTTTGTCCAAAACCGCATAGTATTCGGCCACAACAATAATTCTAGATTTCCAATTGATATCGTTGTTAGTTCCTATAATAGTGTACACACCGTACCAAAAGTCTGGGTAGCATGGGGTTTGTATTTGTTGGCCTTATCCTTATGACAAAAACAAATAGTAGGAATAAGTTGTCTAGTTGGCTTGGGATTGTAGCGTCCTGCCATGTTGAGTATTCACGAAGGGATATACACATACATGTCCAGCTTGAGCTAGAAGTCATCTCACAGGTTGGTGGTTATTGAGAAGGACTCAACTAGGGTTTCATGTTGTCGCATATATAAATATATATCTCTGCGCTGCAAAAGGGCGAGCTCTGCATAAGAGAAGGAGAGATACTGAGCAATACAGATTCACACAGAGCCTAATTCATGGGTTGTTAATCCTTAACAACCTGTGATCATTATAGGAGATAATCATTCTCAAGGTGCAAGGAAGTTTGCAAACCAGCAGGTGATCTATGCAGTGCTGGAAAAGGGTCGTGACACATCCTGATGCATGAAGTTGGTGTAAACCGCCGTGAAGTGTGATACAAACAGAGTTTGATATCAAAGTCATTCGTAAGTTGATTAAGTCAATACAATAGATCGAGTCTGTTGTTATTGAAGGTGTAATCGTTACGGTGATTTAGTGGAAGGGTTGTTACACGGATGTGGGCCCCGCAGAGTAGGAAAGTTTTCCGAACTGCGTAAACAAATTCTCTGTCTTGCGTATTTATTTCATTCTGCACGTTATATTATCTTCTGTCCTTAGAGTTCCTGTGTGTTTGTTGAGTTTAGTAGTAGCTTTTAAAACTTACAATTGGTATCAGAGCTTGTACAGCTTAAGATATTAGCTGAAGAAGACGATCATGGGAGACATGGAGGAAGGTGCAAATGTTCAACGACCACCTCTATTGAGAGGACCAAACTATAACTTTTGGAAAGGACGTATGAGAGCGTTCTTGAAATCACAAGGTGGTAGAGTATGGAGAATCATAGAGACTGGATGGACAGAGCCAACAGAAACAAATGCAGAAGGTGTGAAAGTAATCAAAACTTTTGAAAAATACTCAAAGGAGGAAGCTCAAGCTGCTGAATGCAACGACAGAGCCCTAAATGCTTTATTTGGGGCTGTTGACAGTTCACAATATAGACTCATCTCAAACTGCACTGAGGCCAAGAAAGCTTGGGAGATTCTTGAAACTACTCACGAAGGAGATGAGAGAGTGAAAACAGCAAAAATCCAGATTCTCATGACCAAATATGAGAGCTTGTGCATGGATGAAAAAGAAAGGATAGCTGATTTTCATGGAAGAGTAAGGGAGCTGGCTAATGAAGCTGAAAATCTGAAGCGGCCCTTTACTGAAGACAGTTTAGTTTTGAAGGTGCTGAGAGCTCTACCAGAATCCTATGCTATGGATGCCAAAGCAATTCGTCAGGCACATGACATCAAGAATATGACTCTAGATCAACTCATGGGGAATCTAGAGACTATCGAGTTGCAGATGAATGAAGAGCTCAAACGGAAAAAGAATGAGAAGCCAATTGCTTTTCACAGCCTGGCTGATGAGGATGACAATGAAGATGATATAGCCCAAGACGAGGACTTTCAGGAGCAACTGTCACTCTTCACTAGACAGTTCAAAAAGCAATGGATACAGAAGAGAAGGAAGAACAACTTCCAAGGTGAATCATCCAAAGGAATACAATTCAGAAATACACGACCAAGGGAGATAAGACCATCAATTGATGACCTCAAGAAAAAGGGGCCTCAATGCTTTGAATGTGGTGGGTTTGGTCACATTCAATCTGAATGTGCTAATAATCTCAAAAAGAAGAGGCAAACTTTCATGTCAACATGGAGTGATGATGAGGAAGAAACAGAAGATGTCATGGGGAATAGCCATTGTGCCTTTGTCACCCAGTACGAAGAAGAAAACACTGAGGATGCTGCTGAACAACTCACAGTACTACAAGAAAAGTGGACAGAACTTCTTCTCGTCCATATGAAGAACATCTTAGAAAAGAATCAACTGGCTGTGGAAGTTGAGGATCTCCGAAAGAAACTGGATAAAGTCAACCAACAGCTGATTCAAACTGAAGGAGAAAAGTCTGATCTGAAATATGAACTCACTCAACTTAAAAGCTATCAAAGGTGGATGAAGAGTGCAGGGGCTGAAAAGATCGAGGAGATGGTGAGCTCATCAAAATTCTATGGGGATAGATCTGGAATTGGGCACACATCATCTGAAGGCAGCAAAACACCACTGGATCTGTTCACCAGAGAAACAAGGAACATCACCAAACAACCAGACACAAAGGAGCTGCCAGAATGCAACCTGAGCAAGGGCAAAGATAAAGTGTTTCAGCGTCCAGACTGTCATGTAAGGAAGACTTATTCTCTGAACCTTATTTAAATTATATTTGCTTCTACTGCAGGAAAAAGGGGCTCATCAAACGCCAATGTTACAAACTAAAAAACTTGAAGAGAAGGAAAGGTGGTACAACAAGGCATGTCAAAACCAGAATGAAATGGGTACCCAAACACCAAGCCTCATGTGCAAATCTGTGCTATCGAGTCACACCTGATCAGTGGCTCCTGGATAGTGGATGTTCTCATCATATGACTGGAGACAAACAGAACCTGACAAATGTACAACCAATTGAAGGAGGGAATGTAAGATTTGGTGGTGGAGCTCATGGACAGATTATCGGAAATGGAACGCTGCATGTATCTGGACTGCCACCAATCAAGAATGTATGGCTTGTTCAGGGACTGCAAGTGAATCTTCTGAGCATTAGTCAGATCTGTGATCAAGGACTTGAAGTGGTATTCACACAACAAAAATGTCGCATCAAGGACAGAAACAAGTTGGTGGTATTAGAGGGAGACCGAACTGCTGACAATTGCTATAAAGTAATTCCAAACATCCTATGTTATGCTGCAAGTGAAAGAGATGCCAAATTATGGCACTACAAACTGGGGCATATGAACTATAAAGACCTGAAAATGCTATCAAACTCAGGGGCAGTTCGAGGGCTGCCAAAAATCACACAGGCTGATGATCAAGTATGTGGACCTTGTCAGAAAGGAAAGCAGATCAGAAAGAGTCACCCAAAGAAGCTAATGAGAACAACCAAACGACCACTGGAACTACTACACATTGACCTTTTTGGGCCTATGCAGACAGAAAGTATAGGAGGAAAGAGATTCGTTCTCATAGTAGTAGATGACTACACCAGATATACGTGGATCAGCTTCTTAAAGCACAAAGACGATGCACTGGATGCTTTTGCAGCTCTTTGTAACAAGGTTCAGAATGAAAAACAACTGAGAATAAAGAAGATAGTGCGGGTACGAAGTGATCATGGAGGTGAATTTGACAATGGACCATTTGAAGAATTTTGCAATCTCCACGGAATAAACCATGAATTTTCAGCACCAAAAACTCCACAACAAAATGGAGTAGCTGAGAGGAAAAATCGACACGTACAAGAGATGGCCCGCACAATGATCAACACATACAACTTGCCACAGAATTTGTGGGCTGAGGCAGTTCATACAGCATGCTATACAATTAATCGAGTGTATCTCAGGAGTGGAACGCAGGCTACACCATATGAATTATGGAAAGGAAGAACCCCAAGTGTGGCACACTTTCACATCTTTGGAGCAAAATGCTATGTCTTAAGGGACCGAGAACAAAGAGGAAAATTTGAATCCAAGAGTGACGAAGCCATCTTTGTTGGATACTCACCTAACAGAAAGGCCTTTCGAGTATACAACAAGCGCACAAAAACTATCATGGAATCAATAAACGTGGTAGTAGATGACCAGGTCTCTCAAAAACCAGTGGATGATCAAATAGAGCCACTGAAACACATCGAAGAAACTGAAGAAAAAGCTGAAGAGGTAGAAAGTGGAAATGAGCAAGACACTCAAACAGACGCACCTATCACCAGCAGTGTTCCGACTCATATTCAAAAGAGTCATCCACCTGAGAACATTATTGGCACGCCCACTGAAGGAATCAGAACAAGAAAGAAGAAGATCGATTTCCTACAGATGACAAAGGCCTACTATACGTCATCCATGGAGCCCAAAAACATTAAAGAAGCCTTGACAGATGCAGCTTGGATAAATGCCATGCACGAAGAACTGGAGCAGTTCGAGAGAAACAAAGTTTGGGAGCTTGTACCAAAACCAGACTCACTGAATGTCATTGGCACAAAGTGGATCTACAGAAATAAGACCGATGAAGAAGGGAATGTTATCAGAAACAAAGCTCGGTTAGTTGCTCAAGGATACACACAGATGGAGGGAATAGACTTCGAAGAAACATTTGCACCTGTAGCACGTCTTGAGTCCATACGAATGCTTATAAGTATGGCCTGTGTTCTAGACATGGAGCTATATCAAATGGATGTGAAGACCGCCTTCCTAAACGGGTATTTAAAAGAAGAAGTCTATGTAGCACAGCCCAAAGGATTTGAAGACTCAAAACATCCAAACCATGTATACAAACTCCACAAAGCATTGTATGGGCTAAAGCAAGCTCCAAGGGCATGGTATGAAAGACTAACAAACTATCTTATTGAGGTAGGATACAAGCGAGGGGGAGCAGACAACACGATGTTCTACATTTGGTACAACTCAGACTTACTGGTTGCACAAATATACGTGGATGACATTGTGTTTGGATCTACATCTAAGGCACGAGCTGATGAGTTTGTCAGAGTAATGGAGAAGGAGTTTGAAATGAGCATGATAGGAGAACTCACATTCTTTTTAGGTCTTCAGATCAAACAAACAACCGATGGAATCTTCATATCACAGACCAAGTATGCACAAAACATGCTGAAAAAGTTTGACATGAGTGACAGTAAAAGTGCTAGAACACCATGTCCAACACATGAGAAAATCAGCAGAGACGATACTGGCAATGATGTTGATGCAACAAGATACAGAGGAATCATAGGAAGTCTTCTCTATCTAACAGCGAGCAGACCAGACTTGTGCTACAGTGTAGGAGTTTGTGTGAGATATCAAGCCAATCCAAAAGAATCACATCTCAAAGCAGTCAAGAGAATACTAAAATATGTGAAAGGCACACAAAATTTGGGACTTTGGTACTCAAAAGGAAGTATGGCAGAACTCATGGCATTTAGTGATGCAGACTGGGCTGGAAACATAGATGACAGGAAAAGTACTTCAGGAGGATGCTTCTTTCTTGGTGGGAATCTTGTGGCTTGGCTAAGTAAGAAACAAAACTCTGTGTCACTGTCTACAGCAGAGGCTGAGTATATAGCTGCAGGTAGCTGTTGTGCACAACTGTTATGGATGAAATCAATTTTGGCTGACTACGGAGTCAAACATAACACTATTCCAGTGTACTGCGACAATACAAGTGCCATCAGCATATCAAAAAATCCAGTACTCCACTCCCGCACAAAGCATATTGATATCAAGCATCATTTCATACGGGAACTAGTGGAACGTAAGATTGTAAGCCTGGAACATGTGTCTACTGAAGATCAGCTTGCAGATATTTTTACTAAGGCACTTGATGGAAACATATTTGAAACACTCAGATCCAAATTGGGTTTGTGTGCACCTTACTAAAAGTCATGGGGAAATCAAATAAAAGATGAAGGAGGAAGTCCACAAATAAAAGTCATGAAGATATCAAAGACACGTGGAGCAAGGCTACAAATAAGTCAGGCATGCAACACGCCTTTTTACACCCAACGCCGCGCTACTGGATTTGAAGAGACAATTCTTAAATCCTCCTATCAGCTTTAAGAGACATTACACCCTTCTTCTTCTTCCCCTCGGCTGCATTTTTTCTGTCAAAAACCCTAGCATCATCACGATTGAGTCTGCAAACATGGTGCGAACCAAAATAGCCCTGCCACAAAGATTGAAGAATCCACTCAAAGTAAAGCGAAATGCAAATTTATTGAAGAAATTTGCACAAGCTCGAGCGAAGCAACAAACCAAACTTTTCTCAGAAGAAGACAATAAGGCATCGTCACCACTTCTATCAGATGAAAACTCTCAGCAAAATCCTCCGCATGCAGAATCTCACGAAGCACAACTTGATGAAGCACCTCTCAAACCAGATCTGCCAACCGTGTTCTATTTGGAATACAAGGCAGACGCGTTATCTCAAAGGATGCAATCTACTTCAGATGAAATTGGCAAAGCAGATGAGAAAGACCGTTCAAATTTCAAGCAACAGGATGAGCCATGCAAAGCCACAGCAAGTGAACCATGCCAGACTGAATTCGGTGGAGATGATGAGGAGTTTTTGAATCTACTAGAAGAAGAACCCTTGATGGCTGTCTCTGAAGTCCCATTTGAATCACAAGTCAGTACCCCACAGAATCAGAAGTCAACATCTAAGCCTTCAATCTCCAATCCAGTTCGCTGGTCCAAACGCAAACTGGAATCTGAGATCAAAACTCCGGAGGCACCGTTACCTCTTTCCAAAAAGGCCAAGAGCAGTGCCAAAAAGTCTGTCTCCAACTCTAAGACACCCTAGACAAGGACAAAGAAACAACAGAACATTCTCTCAGGGAAGTCCTCGAATACTACTTTCATCTCCTCTAATGCAAAATCCTTTATGAGTCTGATTGAGAAGAAGCACATCATTTCCCAACGGAATATTGATGTTGATGATTTTACACTGAAGACAAATCTCATACCTCTCTTGAAAGCAAGGAAGTTGCTGAGATCTGTAACACTCCCTGGGTCCTATGTTAAACAAGTAGTGCGTGAATTCTACTGCAACTTAAATGAAAGCTTTATTCACTCTACTGATGAGAACTTTGAGAAAGTATTTGTGCGAGGGAAGTACTATGATTTCTCTCCTGCTGCAGTTAATGAATTCTTGGGTGTGAATGATGAACTAGATGTACAAATTGGGGAAGCTACAATGTGGAAGGAACTGACACATGGTGCCAGGAACAGCCAACAATCCACAAACAAAGTTCCTTCATCCATTCTCAACACCTCTTACTCAATTCTCTTGCGTGTTGCAGCATGTCACTGGCTTGCAACCACTCATACAAACACTGTCACCAAGGCCATGGGAATGCTTCTCTACAAAATCAAAAATGGTGTCCCAATCAACCTGGGAAAGCTGATTGTGTCCCAGATTGCTGAGTTTGGAAAACGAAACTACAAGCAAAATGACAATGGTCTGCCTTTTCCTGTTCTAATCTTTTAGATGCTTCTTTCTCAGGGATTCGTCAAAGTTGCTGCTGACAAGGAGGAGCCACCAGAGCCACTACTGCAGATTGACTATAGGCATTTTGAAGGAAACCATTTCAATGACATGGAGTCCACTCAAAGCTCTGCTCAGCAAGGAGTGTCAGCTGTGATACAATATCTGGATGACAAGCTTGAAGCAAACAGGGAAGAGATGAGGATGACACTGGCCAAACAGTCAGCACTTGAGGAGGAACACAAGCATCTCACCTGGCTTAGAGAAGTTGTGACTGACAGTGCTGCAACAACAGAGGGAGAATCTGCTCAAGGGGAGAGCTCTCAGGAAGAGGAGGAGGAGGATGAACTATCAGCATAAGTGTTTTATCTTCATTACTCATTTGCATCTCAGAACTTGACATTATTTTGGTGGGGTTGTTCTGCCCTTGTTTCTGGTTTTAAACTTTATGCTTTACTATTTCTACTATGACTGCTGTCAAACGTGTCTTTGGGATTTTGAACCTGGTTTGCCAAGTCTTCATATCTGCCTGTTTTTGGATATCCACCACATTATCATTTTACGTTCTATGGATCTTTGCAAATCTTCCTCTTACATGGTGTAGGTACACTCTCAAGCTCCACTTTAGAATATGTTACATATCATGTAGCTCTCTTGCTTAAATGTTGGATATTACTCTTCTCTTTTTCCCAGTTCTTACTCAATACACTTTGGCATATTTTGCACAAAAAAGGGGGAGAAGAGGTTCAACAGCCAGAGAGTCTAGTTTGTTTATTTGTTTTTGTCCAAAAGGATGGCCAAAGGGGGAGATTGTTAGTTCCTATAATAGTGTACACACCATACCAAAAGTCTGGGTAGCATGGGGTTTGTATTTGTTGGCCTTATCCTTATGACTAAAACAAATAGTAGGAATAAGTTGTCTAGTTGGCTTGGGATTGTAGTGTCCTGCCATGTTGAGTATTCACGAAGGGATATACACATACATGTCCAGCTTGAGCTAGAAGTCATCTCACAGGTTGGTGGTTATTGAGAAGGACTCAACTAGGGTTTCATGTTGTCGCATATATAAATATATATCTCTACGCTGCAAAAGGGCGAGCTCTGCATAAGAGAAGGAGAGATACTGAGCAATACAGATTCACACAGAGCCTAATTCATGGGTTGTTAATCCTTAACAACCTGTGATCATTATAGGAGATAATCATTCTCAAGGTGCAAGGAAGTTTGCAAACCAGCAGGTGATCTATGCAGTGCTGGAAAAGGGTCGTGACACATCCTGATGCATGAAGTTGGTGTAAACAGCCGTGAAGTGTGATAGAAACAGAGTTTGATATCAAAGTCATTCGTAAGTTGATTAAGTCAATACAATAGATCGAGTCTGTTGTTATTGAAGGTGTAATCGTTACGGTGATTTAGTGGAAAGGTTGTTACACGGATGTGGGCCCCGCAGAGTAGGAAAGTTTTCCGAACTGCGTAAACAAATTCTCTGTCTTGCGTATTTATTTCATTCTGCACGTTATATTATCTTCTGTTATAGGAGGTGCTCAAGCACTGCGTCAGTCCTTAGAGTTCCTGTGTGTTTGTTGAGTTTAGTAGTAGCTTTTAAAACTTACAATCGTATCACTTGCCATAGAAGAAGAAGAAGAACAAGAAGGGGGGGAAAAACTTAACACTATTAATCTTCAAAATAGAGAAATGGCCAACTTAAACAGCATGCATACTGTTAAATAATTACCTAGAAAAGCGTTTTGGGTGTACACGCACCTGTCGGTAAGTTCCAAGTTCAAAGATGTGGTGAGCCATCAGAAGTAATACGGAATGTTTTTTGTGCTTCCCTAAAAGTTTTACTGCTGTTTGAAACTGGTGGAGCAGTAACATCTTCATTCAAACCAATTTACTCAGGTGTTGCAGTGGGTGGTGGCTTTGGACATACTAAAGCATAATATAGAGGTCTGGAACTAATGAGATCTGTCACATATCTTTACCGTTGAGATGGCATTGCTTCTAAAAACATCAATCTTAGCAATTCTAGATTAGAACAAATGCAGCAATTAATAATGCTTGCAGAGCGTAGGGTAAAACAAACAAAAAATCCCATACAGTTGAGGCAAATTCAATGCTTCACTAATGTACACCATGACAGGCCCTTCCCTCGTAACAACTAAGTATTCCACTCTGGCTGGGAACTGTGAGGGGCAGAGAATCAAATTCCAGTCTCATAGTTTGATTTTAAATCCTACACTTAATTACAATGCAACGCACCCTAATTTCTAAAACAAAGTACATTTCAAATTTAATGATAACTAAATTCTACACTAATTTCAATTACTAATACAAATTTAACAAATATTAAATCCATCAATATTTCCTCCGTTTGAGGTAACCCCTTGCTTGCTTACTCTCACTTCTCTTTTGTTCTCAATTTGACTTTTCACGGATTTTTAGGAGTGTTAAAAAGACTCGTGACTTTCCCATTTTGCCCCTCCTTGCTTTGCCTCTGACCAGTTAACCCATTCTTTGTTACCCCCACATAACCTCCCCACCACCACCGTGCCACCACCACTGCCACCCCACTTTCACCGCCAGCCCCACCTTCACCCTAGTCCTCACAATCATCGTCAACCCCACCACCGCTTGCGGTCTCACCATCGCCGTGATTGTGGGCTAGATCTAGAAAATAGATGGATGAAAAGAAGGAGAGAGATAAGAAGAAGAAAACAAGAAGAGAAGAAATATAGGTCTAGACTTACCGTCGCCGCCGCCGCCATCATCCTTACCATCGTCGCCGCCATCTTCATTGCCCCATCGTCGCCGTCACATATAGTTGAGGCAAATTCAATGCTTCACTAATGTACTCCATGACAGGCCCTTCCCTCGTAACAACTAAGTATTCCACTCTGGCTGGGAACTGTGAGGGGCAGAGAATCAAATTCCAGTCTGATATTTAGATTTTAAATCCTACAATTAATTACAATGCAACGCACCCTAATTTCTAAAACCAAGTACATTTTGAATTTAATGATAACTAAATTCTACACTAATTTCTATTACTAATACAAGTTTAACAAATATTAAATACTTCAATATTTCCTCCATTTGAGGGAATTTAACAATATTCCCTTTGCATGCTTATCTTCACTTCAGTTTTGATAATATAATATAGCCATGTCACTCTTTGTTTTGTAGAACTTTTCATGTAGTTTTTTAAATGTAAAAATATTATTTTTGAATTTTACATTTTTAACCATATTAATTGAGTTGAAAACCCAAATCAGAATGGGAAGAACAATTTTTAAAGGAAGGAGTATTATAAATTCAAAGTAGATGAAGAGCTGAATACCAAGTATTAATGAACTGGAAATTGANTTCACTTCACTTTTGATAATATAATATAGCCATGTCACTCTTTGTTTTGTAGAACTTTTCATGTAGTTTTTTAAATGTAAAAATATTATTTTTGAATTTTACATTTTTAACCATATTAATTGAGTTGAAAACCCAAATCAGAATGGGAAGAACAATTTTTAAAGGAAGGAGTATTATAAATTCAAAGTAGATGAAGAGCTGAATACCAAGTATTAATGAACTGGAAATTGATCAGTTGAAATGTGGAGAGTTAATGAATTTAGGGGAGGGGGATTTTGAGTTTATAAAATTCAAAAGTATCTTCACACCTAGATTATGCACACATGCCTTAGAGAGTCATAGATAGAACCTTAGAAGAAAAAAAGGACTTTTGGAGTTTGTAAAACTCAAATTTCCAATTCAAGAATTTGAGGGTAAGATCTAGGAAATTGATGTTTGCTTCTTTCCCTTTGAAGGAAACGACCCATCGAGCTATCCAAAGGATGTGCTTCTTTTGGATACTTCCAAATGATTGTTTATATGTAGAACACGAGGAATGTGTCTAATGCGTAAAGCTAGAGAAATAAAAAAAAATAATCATAAAAAACAAACAGAGCATATATAATGGGTGGGAAAGATTGAGAAAATACAATGTGGCAAAGGAGAATGTGGGGGGAATGGTTAATATAAGAAGGGGAGAAGAAGAGAGAGAAGGGGAGGGGGGAAGAATAGGCACTGGGTGAACATGGAAATGTAGGAAAGAGATAGAGAAAGTTAAAAAGATAAGGAGAAAGGAAAAAAAGAGAAAACAAAAAAGGAAGAGAAAGAAAAAATAAAGAATGCTTTTTACAAAGATAGAATATATTTATACAACTATACAAGTATTAATTTTTAAAGGAATATTTACTCTTAATAATTTTTTTAAAATATAATCTATAAATCTAAGTCAATTTTTTAAAAAATAAACTATCTTGATATATAATATAAGAAATATGGATTGAGATAAATTTATGACGTGAGGGCCCACTATTAGAAAAGAAGGGAACGTCTGAGGAACCATTAAAGAGGTTTGAAGAAAGCTAAGAATGAGAATGAGGTGGCTATAAATATAAGGGGGAAGAGAGATAGAGGGAGAGAGAGAGAGAGAGAGACAGAGAAGAAGAAGAAGAAGAAGAAGAACAAGAAGAAACAAAGATGGAATGGATAAAGATGCTCTAAGAGAACAAATTGCCTGAATTATGTTCTACAAATTGCCTTTGATTAAAAATACTAAAACCTTTTAGAAGAAGTGTAAAATGTGGGAGCAAACACTTATTGACTACATATTCAATTCAAAGAAGAGGATTTCATGATGCACACGGTTATAATCCTATATGTTGTAATAACATCATGCTATAGCTCATACCTGAGCATCGCATATGGTCTTTTTGAGAATTTGAGAGAATAAATCTTGCAGGCCAATTTGTTTTTCCTTTAATACTGGACAATTAAATTAATGAAAATGGAAATTAATAAATCTGTAAATCATAATGTAATTAAACAAATTAAAATCAGAACTTAATACCTCTGACCGTGCTTCCTTCATTGTTTTCACACGAAGCCATAAGACATTGAACTTAATACCTCTGCCACTGAATTGCCCTCTCTGAAGACATGGTTTGATTTGAATTTCACAGCCTTAAGACTATTTCTGATTCTGTTTATTATAGGCGAAATAGACCAATTTCCAGAAGCCGCCTTTCCATTAGGTGAATCATCACCTCAGCATCCAATTCAATTGCACCGAGCTATCTAAATAAGCTCCAAAAT